TTTAAATGTGGTTCAATGAGTTGATTTGGACTTGATTTAACTCGGATTGAGCTAGTTTTTATATCATTAGGCTCGTCTCATCAAGCCGGTCAGTTTGACTATAAGTTTGTTGAAATCAGAGCTTTGGATGACTTTTTATCAAGATTTGAATATTTCATGTTTAAAATATTATCTCGAGATTCGTGTCAGATGATGAAAATTTATTGGTGACATATTAGTTGCCTCCCTATTTCGAGCGAGACCATTTTCATCGTTCGAAATATCAAGAACTGGAGCATTTATATCCTGCATATGTATCATTATATATTATTTTATTAGTATCGGTATAAGAAAATTTTTCTCTTTATATGTTAATAAGTTGAATACAACTCAGTTGGTAAGCATTTTTTTGCTTTATGAGAGGGCGACAGGGTTCAAATTCTACCTAAAATAAAATAAATAATGTTTTATACAGAAATTTGAAAAGATTAAGAAATTTAAAAGGGCAATAGAGAATGAATAAAAAGTGAAAAGATTTTTTTTTGGAATATGAAAAGTTTTTATTTATTATTATTTATGAGCATTTAATCTTTGCACTTCTTTTTAGATTTCTATATTAATGTGCATTTATTGGTCAATGCTCTTTTTGAGCCTATAAATAAGGGTCTGAAAGAGAGAGTGGAGGTGTGGCGGTGCGTCGTGACGATGCGTTGCAATGGTGCATCGCGGCGGCGCGACAGGGAAACTGGTTGCTGCGGCGCGACGCAGCGGTGCGGCGGCGCAACCCGTTGCGGCGGGGCATTGCGCCACGAAGACGCAGCGGGGCAACCCGTTATGGCGGTACGACGTGGAGGTGCGACGTTGCGGCGCAGCTGGGCAACCTGTTTTGTCTACGCGACGCAGCGGGCGCGTTGCGACAGTGCGACACGACATGAGAATGTGTTGTAGTGACGTTCTGCAATGGAGCGAAGCGTTGTAGCGACATGTTGCACCGCAGTGATCGGTCGCGGCAACGCGTTGCGGCGGTGTGCCAAGGCGATGTGTTGCAACAATGCGTGGTGGTGACGCGTTGCGATAGAGCGTCCCGTCGATGTATTGCGACAGTGTGTCATGGCGGCGGGTTGCGGTGAAGTGCCGCAACGACGAGTTGCGGCAGTGCGTCGCGGACGAAGCATTACGACGACGCGTTGAGTTCAAGACTATCATCCAGGACCATGATTCCCCAAGAAGAAGAAGTCGTCATGAGTATTGGTGAAGAGTTGCGGTGCAGAACTTTAGAGTCGAGTTGTGGTGAAGAGTTGTGACGTAGAGTTGCAGTGAAGAGCTGCAGGGTCGAGTTGCAGCGAAGTGTTGTTGTGCCTTGTTGTGGCGAAGTGTTGCGCGCAGTGTTGCAGTGCAGAGCTGCGATGAAGTGTTGAGATGCTAAGTTGCGGCGAAGAGGAAAGTCAACGCCGTCCTGTATAGCAGACAAGCAACGAGATTTTCTTTCTTGTTGTGGCGAAGAGGAAAGTTGTCCTCGTCCTGCGTAGCAGGCAAGCAACAAGATCTTCTTTCTCTTTGCGGCGAAGAGAAAAGTCGTCCCTGTCCGACGTAGTAGACAAGCAACGGGTTCCTCTTTCTCATTAGGGCGAAGAGGAAAGTCGTCACCGTCCTGCATAGCAGACAAGCAACGAGATCTTCTTTCTCGTTGCGAAGAAGAGGAAAGTCATCCCCGTCATGCACAACAGGCAAGCAACGAGAACTTCTTTCTTGTTGCGGTAACAAGGAAAGTAGTACCCGTCCTGCGTAGTAGGCAAACAACGGGATCTTCTTTCTGGTTGTGACAAACAAGAAAGTCGTCCCCGGCCTGCGCAGCAGGCAAGTAATGGAATCTTTTTTTTCGTTGCGGTGACGAGGAAAGTCGTCACCGTCCTGCGTAGCACACAAACAACGAGATCTTATTTCTCGTTTATGCTGTGTATTTCAGAGGAGACTCCCGTGCCACCCTTGCATGTTTTATAAGTGATGAAGAAATGTTATAGTTTTGTTGTTGCGCTTTGAGGAGAAGATTTGCATGCTTATGTGGTGGCGATATTGGGAGACCCCTTTACGATCATCAGAAGTACTATTTTTTGGAGAGGCGATGTCAACTCTACTCAAAGATGAACGAATTTGTTGTAGCTCTTGTATAAATATATGTTGGCCTTTGTAACATTTTTTTACAATTAGATGTGATATTTGTAGATGATGATAATGTATTTCCTTGTTTCTTCCACGGTTGTTGTGGTTTCTTAATCGTACGAAATTCTTCTAAGGCTAGTAGCCTTCTGAGGTTTTACAGTGGAGACCCTCTTGGGCTTGTCTTCCAGCGACATGGTAGCAAATTATCGGGTCTTGCCTTCTGGGCTTGATTTTCAGTGACATGGTTGAAAGGAGAATCCATTGAGGATGTAAGTCCAGTTCTGAGTTGTGTAACCGAAGATGCTCGACGATATTAGCTCGTAATGAACAAAGTCATATGAAATTCACTTAGGATGCTTAACCTATCTTAGGTTGTTGGTTTAAGCTTTTGTTTGACGACCGTAACCTGTTATGGAAGAGGTCAAAGGAAATCCACAAAGGGTTTTTGACTTATCCAAAGTTGTACGTTGAAGCCTTTGCTTGACAACTGTAGTCTGTAATGGAAGAGGTCAAATTGAGTCTCTCGAGGATCGATTAATCCCAGAATGAGGTGTCTGAGATGATTTACGTTTCTCGAGATTGGGATGTATGTTGCAATGGACCGTATGTTTTCTTGGAAATATGGTTGCAGTCATACTAAAGAAAAAATGTTTGACAACTTGTCAGTTGTTACTTTTGAATCTTTTGCCCCAGCGGACGACGTTTTTCATGTGAGTTTGTAAAAGAGCTTATGTATGGAGTCTTGAAGAGATCAACTTCATGATTTGGTTGAGGAGGAACTTTAATAAGATGAGGGGTGCTGAGGAAGCATTATTTGTGGTGAAGATTTCATCCCAGTACATGAGCGATTTTCACAGGCTTGTAATCTGAATGAAATATGGGATGACTCCCCACTACAGTCGTGCCCGAGACGTTGACATGAACGACCTTTCGAGACTGTAGTGAAAAATTGACCCCAGCCTGGAAGAAGTTGTGACATACTTTGTGTCTGAATAAGATACGAGAAGACAACCCCACTACAATTGTGCCTGGGACATTGACGTGAATGACCTTTTGAGATTGCAGTGAAGGTTGCCCCCCATATTGAAGAATGCTTTAAAGATGATCTTCAAGATGCAAAGAAGGCTCATTTGCCAATTCGATGATCTACATCAGTGGGAAATGAAGTAGGGGCTTGGTGTCTTAGAGTTCAAGACAATGTCGAACGAGACTTCGTTTCCCACAGACGACGCCAAACTGATATGTGCCAAAAAATTCGAGGCGGTAGAGTAATGGATTATCGTCTTAGCGTTGCACGAGAATTCATCACACATAGATAACAGAATAGAAGTAAGTAGGAGGAGACACCTCGACTTTTTACGTGGAAAACCCTTGAAAGAGGGAAAAACCACGGGGCTTAGCCCAGTTGAAATAATCCACTATGAACGATGAGTACACAGGTCTATTCTTCCCATAAATTAGGGAAGATGAAATTACAAAGTTGTATAACTATAATCTGACTGTAGTTCTTGATGACAACATGTTATAAGGTTCATTGTTGATTGTTGTGGAGGTACTAGTCCATCGTGAGTGTTGTAGATGGCTACACCAGAAGTGTTGATTGGCCAAAGAAACCGTAGTAAGCAATTACGGAAGTTGTGGTTCACATAGGCCGTAGTAGCGAGTATGAATGACGTTCGTCGGCCGCCGGGGCCGGAGTCGGGAGTTGTTCGAGCTATGAACCACATAGGTCGTTGTTGACACATAAACCGTATTGATAAACTCATGTCCCACGACGATGAATGATGGTGTTTGCTTGGTGGTGATCGACGATGATTGGTGATGATCAACAGTGACGGTCAACAGTGGATGACGTCGATCGACGACGGCCCGGCGATGGCCGATGACGATTAACGGTGGGCGACGACGGTTGGTATGATGTTGAACTTCAGCTCCTTCTTAGAGCTTCCAGTTCTCTCTGACATTTCCAAACCCCCTCCTTATGTGAGGGGTGAGGCTCTATTTATAGTGTTCTGAATGTCATTAATGCAGAAATATGAAACATTTTGATCGAACGGTCCGGAGAGCTTCCCTCGAGCATACAACGTTTAATAGACATTTGAGTGCCTTAATGATGTCTGAATTGAGTGATTTTGGGCTCTTTAGATTTGTCTTGTCAAGACGCTCAATTCGAGTATAAACTTGTAATATTCGACAACCATTTGACCTTCCAAATGTGTCCGGAAATCATTTAAATATGATTCAATGAGATGATCTGAGTTTGATTTGACTCAGATTTAGCTAGTTTTTATATCATTAGGTTTGTTTCATCAAGTCGGTCAGTTTGACTATAAGTTTGTTGAAATCAGAGCCCTAAATGACTTTTTTTATCAAAATTTGAATGTTTCCTATTTAAAATATCATCTCGAGATTCGTGCCGGATGATGAAAATTTATTGGTAACGTATTAATAAAAAGTAATAATTAAAATAATATAAATAAATAGTATTATTTTAAAAAAAATAATTGTTTCGAATTAGGATAAGTCCAATATAAACGAATAAATTTTTATTCTCGTTAAACTCATTTATAAATGGAGTTTGAAAAATTTTTCATGTTTGCGTAACTATTAACGAACTATTTATGGAGCCTCAGAACCCGAGCTGTTACTGGAGATTACTTTTTATTTATTTATTTATTTATTTATTTATTTATTTATTTATTTTGACAGCCCCGATTACAGCCTATTATTTAATTGGTGGGTCCCACTGGGATTCCTGGATTCTTTCTCTATATTTATTCAGCATTTTCGGCCGGAAGAATCCTCTCTCTTCTTCTCCTCCCCTCGACGCTCCTCCTCTCCTGTGCATCCCAATTTGTAACCGCGGAGGACAGCGTGAAGTGGGAGAGGATCGTTGGACGATGGCGAGCGTGGTGGAGGTCGCAGAGGATGGGGGGTCTCGGAACAATGAGAAGAGGCCTGTGGTTGTGGTGTCGGATGAGACCGTGCACCAGATTAGCACTGGTATTTTCTTTGTTTTTCTTGGGTTCAGATTTCGATTGAATGGATGAGGTTTTGTTTTTCATTACTTCGAATTTTTTGATAGCATTGTTTTTTTTTTTGTTTTGTTTGAAATTTCACCAGATTAGTACCTAATTCTTCTACTGTTCATTACTTTGAATTTATTGTCGCCGATGAGAGACTGTTGCTTGATGTTTTTGTGGTTGTTTAGATCTTAATTTTTGTTCCCTAATTTTGTTCCGGGCATTTCATTCTACATGTAATTACCGTGGAAGCTAGGCCAATAAGGGCAAACTGCAAATCATCTACCCGACAAGGGATTACAAAAAGTTTTATGTCCCACCTGTATGTTCTGAAGCCGGGCTGGCTAACGTTAAGTATAAATATTCTTCTCTAATATAGCTAATCAAGAAGTGGAATAATGGCATAAGAATGAAGCAAAGAGGATCGCATAAAACAGATTAATTGAGTGGAGCATGCATAACAGAATAAGTAGCTGTATAATGATCTGTAGGCAGAGATGAAGTTAAGACACCACATAAAATCTCCCCTGCTTATGAAGAACTTGTCTCAAGTGATATGAGTTCGGTGGAGATGTCATGGGGGGTTGTAAAGCGTATTAATCAAGGTAATCCTTGAAGGTGGACAATTTCGTCGAGGAAGGGCTGGCTCTGTGAATAGCATCGAAGGTTTTCTTGCAAGCTATGTGCCAACATTGAGAATCTGTCAACAACTATTATTATAGAATCAACTTCTTTATTTGGTCATCGGTAAATTCAATATAAAATCGAAACTCAGATATTCCTAAATTGACTTTAGAATGTGTAGGGGCGTATATAATCTTTGTATTTTTGACTGGGCCGTTATGTACTTGATATATTGGATATTTTTTAACAGTTTTTGTGACATCCCAAGAAAGCCGTCGCTAAAAGGCATGTGTTTGGATTTGAACCAAGATCTTTTCTCGTCCAATGGGAGCTGCCAAACCCCATGTATGTACCTCTTTAATGAGTTATAGTCAAAATGAGGAGTCCGGAATACATATTTGGGGTTGGCATGGTTATTTGTTTCCAAATATCATAGAATTCCAGGTCACTGTTATATAAATATATTTTATATATTCTAGCTCCATAATTTTAATTTGCAATGTGATAAGGGGAGTGAAGTACCTATTGAGAACATACGCGACTCAGTTTTTGGAATCGACCTTGTACTTAAGTACAAAGCTGAATTTTTGGATCTTGTTAAAAAGCCGATTTTCTCTACAAATAATGTCCAGCAGGCATGCATACGGTTAATTGTTTTTTTGTGAGTTGAGACATGCAAGGCTTGTTAATCACTACTTAAAACAAACCTTGGTGAATTCATGTTTCCACTGATTGACAGCACGAACCACTGCATATAGTTCATGCTTGTGAACAGTTCACCTCTGCCTCACCACAGTAAGCTCTTCACTGCACAAAATTAATTGGGCAGTCTTCTTGCAAAAGGATAGCTCCAATTGTTATTGCAAAAGCATTCGTGTTAATGTGAAAAGGTTTGTCGAAGTCAGGATGTGTCAAAACTGGAGCTATGCTGAGTGCATCCTTAATTGTCTAGAAACTATTATGTTGTTCCCCGGCCCCATAAGAAGTATTTGATTTCTGTCCACACCAAACTCCTGATTTTGAAAGCACGGAAGGTCTCATTGAGCCTGGTTTGACAAGTTTAGAATGACAATGATTGACATGGGATACCGCCAGATCAATGCAGACCACACGGTGTTCTTTCGGGAACATGAATGTCACATTACCATACTTGTTAAGTATGTAGATGACATAATTATCACTGGTGATGATGAAGCAGAAATTGCTTAATTGAAGTGAAGATTAGGGAAGTAATTTGAGGTAAAGAATCTGAAATAGGTCAGATACTTTATTCTGATTGAAGTGACCCATGGACCTAAGGGGATGGTCCTATCTAAGAGAAAGTATGTACTAGATCTTCTCATGTAGATAGGTATGTAGAGATGCAAACCTGTAGTTTCTCCAATTGATCAGAAGGTCAAGCTCAGTACAAAGGCAAGTGAATTGGTTGATTATGAATGGTATGAGAGACTGGTGGGCTGCCTGATCTATTCGTGCCACACTCGACCCAATGTTTCTTTTGCAGTAAATGTGGTGAGCCGTTACATGCATGATCCAAGAAAATGGTCATATGGATGTAGTGTATCAAATTATGAAGTATATGAAGAGTGCACTAGGAAAATGGTTGATATTCAAAAATAATCGACATGTAGATATTGAGGGTTTTTGTGATTCTGATCAGACAAGTTGTGTTGATGACAAAAGATCTACATCAGGATACTGCATGTTTATAGGTGACAACTTGGTCTTGTGGAAGAGCAAGAAACAAACAGTTGTAACAAGATCAACAATAGCGGCAAAATATTGGTCATGAGTGGCTGAAAGTCTTGTTGGTTGAACTCAAAGTGGATCAGGGAGCGTAAATGAAGTTGTGCTTTGACAACAAGTCGACAATCGACATTGCTAACAACCCGGTGCAACACGATAGAACTAAACATGTGGAGATTGATAGATTCTTGATCAAGGAGAAACTGAATAACAGACTATTGGAACTAAGGCATGTTTGCTACTGAAGGGTAGGAGGTCGACTGCCTCACTAATGACTTAACTCAGTGGAGTTAATTAAATTATATGACAAACTGGGCTTAGTGAATATCGTTCGCCCACCTTGACTGGGAGTGCTAAGATTTTTATCTAATTTAGGGTTTTATTTGTAAATAGAATAAATCTAGGGGTTTATTTGTAAATGTTGTTTGGCTTTATATAAGTCAAGATGCTAATAAAATTATTTTTTTTTTCATTTCAATTAAAAATCCTGATTTCAAAAGAGTGGAAGGTGTCAACCACCCTTGAATGGATGAAACTTTCCATGGATCCATTTGAATTCCACTTTCCTACACTATGTCACAAACTCACAATTAGATTCATTAAGGTACAATTTGTGTGTGTGGAGGGCACCAAAACTCTTAATCAATTGTTGCATATGCTCATTAAATGAAGTACTATAAACCAATATATTGTCAAAATAAACAATACAGAAAAAACCCAAAAAAAAATAAATCACGAGCCTCATAGAAGCATCAGAGCATTGCATGACTTGAAGGGACCTTCCACTCATGCAGCCCTTCACAAGTTTTAATTATATTCTTTCATTTGTCACCGGGCCATATGCAAATCTAGTGATATTCGCTATACAAATCAAGGGTTTTTATAAAAAACCTTAAATAGGTGAAGTTTCTTTAAAGTGCTTTAGAAAGGCCCTTGATTCACAAAACAAAAATTCTAATGAATGCAATTGATACAATGAAAGTGATACACTACATCATGATGATTAAGGCTCCTTCTCTTACTTAATATTTAAAATTGCACAATCAGGTAGTGAGGCGATTTCCATTCATGAGGCGAGGCATAAACCTCGAAGTTCGAAAATTGTGAGTCAAAATAAAAGGTAGAAAATAATATATTAGCATCATAACTTATATGAAATAATAAATTTTTTAAACTGCAAATTATCATATAATACCTTGCACAAATTAAAATATAATGTATCAACTCACTAAATCATCAAAACTAACTTAAAACATAAAATGAAATAATATAAATTATCAAAGTAAGATATAAGATGAGTTTAACATAGTAAACTTTCCTCACTCTTATTACCTAATCAAAATTATAACTTTCATAGATCTAAATAAAAACATAATAAATAATCAAAAGTCGAAGCAACAAACAACGGTAGTGACAAAATGAGCTGTTAACAGTGGTGGTGACAGCAAGAGCAGCAAATGACGATGGCTACAACAAAAGCAATATGCGGCTATAAAAGAAAAGTAGGCGAATGCTATGGTGGAAGCAATAAGCAGAGGTGACGATGCTGGCTGTGGAAGTAAGTGACGGCGATACTGGCAGTCCAGCTAGCAAAAGCAGCAGGAGACGATGCTGCGAAGCTTGATCTGGGAGAGTGGAGCTCTTACACATGAGAGTACTGTTACGATTCATATTCAAATTGTTCAATATTGGAGGAAAAATATAAGTGCGAGGGGCGCACGCCTCAACAGAATTGAGGCAAGACTGGCGAGCCTCAACCTTTGTGAGGCGCATGCCTTGCCTGAGCTACTCAAGGAGCACGTCTGAAAGCATTTTTGTTTCATAATTACCATGAGCCGGGATTGTGTAATTTCAAACAATGCTCTTATTAGGCCCTCTTTAATAAGTTTGAAATACCTTGAGATAAGGTTCATATGCTCTCAATTAGTTGACTTACTTTTCTTCGAGTCTCTTAGTTAAAAACATTTATTTTTGTGCGCCAATTCTAGATGAGTCTAATACATTATTTTCTGTGTATTAACTCCATTTTTTTTGTTATTCCATCAACATATGAACCTTATCTCATACTGTGAACCCACAATTCACATGTTATACATCCAACAACCCCCAAGCAGTATTAGAAGATTTATCGTTACTGCAAATAGCTTGAAATGGCTTTCTTGTACATTCTCTGAATGAAATTCTACCTTGAAATGAAATAGTTTAATATGAAGTTGCGAATTTTGCTTAAATTTTCTTCCTACCCTGTTATTTGTTGGGACTTGTTAAAGTTGCTAATGAAACGTGTGTTCCAGATCCTTGGTATCAAGGTGGGTTTGTCCTCACAACAGGTATCAACAGTTCTTATGTATTGGGGTATTCAGCATCGGTTATGATTCCTTTGGGATGGATTGGTGGTGTAGTTGGTTTACTCTTAGCAGCTGCCATATCCTTTAATGCCAATATTCTTGTTGCTCGTCTTCATAATGTTGGAGGTAAAAGGCAAATTAGATACAGAGATCTTGCTGGTCACATATATGGTACGATTCCTGACTGTTTTCTTTATCTTTTATCAAGCACTTTAAACATTTAACAAGTTCTACAAGTTACACGATGAAAATAATGTAAAAATAATTCTTTATTATCTTTTCCATAGTGGCTTTTATAGGATTTTTTTTCTTCCTGAGAACCTTCTTCATGTTGTTTCATTTCAATACAGGAAGGAAAATGTATTATCTTACTTGGGCCCTCCAATATGTGAATCTTTTCATGATCAACACGGGTTATCTCATTTTGGCTGGGCAAGCACTGAAGGTATTTTGAAAATGATTGCCACAATATGCTCTGTTTCAGTAGGTGTATAGAATAAGTTTCATTGTGTCTTTTGTCTCGATTAAATATTTTATTTCGTTAACAAGTTTTGTTTTTGAAAAGCGCCAGAAATTAATGCTTTTTTCTCATATGGTATTTCGGCTGAATCCTTGAACATCTGAACTTATAACCTGTATGGATTTAGTTGAAAGTTGAAGCTTAACTAAAGATTGTTTTAGTCAGCTCTCCTTGTTTGACATTGAAGCACATTACTATGTAGTGTGAATGGATGCTAACCCTGACCTGGCTGCCGGCATTGGGTATGCTGATGAGAGATAATCTCTTCTTCCTGCTCTTTAAGTGATCAGCATGACTTTGTGCTGGTCTTAAACAACTATGAAATTGACTCGAGATTAGATGATTAATTAGGACCCTATTTTGAGTAACAACCATCTTCTTCTTTGTTTTTTCCTTAATTTTTTGACAGCAGTTAATAGTCGCAGAATTCAGTAAATAATAATCTTGTCATAATAAGATTTAATGGTTCTATTCAAAGTGAAGGACCTGATTAGGACTTTCACAATAACTTTATAGGCCTTGAGTATATAAATAAAATTCTATGATTAAGGTGCAAGCTCAGGAATCTAATTGTTTGCTCATTAACCTTTGATTTAGATGTATATCTGTGACATTTAACATTCATTCTGCTTTGCCAGTACCCTAATGTCAAAGTGTAATAGATTATGCATTTGACCAGTTGGTGATTTATAATTCTTTGCACAATTCCTTGTCTATTGAAATATACTTTTTAATCTTTAATTAAATTAAGTTTCTGTGATTGATTCATGTTGCAAATATCAAATCGCTATGACTACTTACCTCTACCTTATATGGTTAGAAAATAATTTTTTATTAGCTTTTCTACAATTCATAAAAAATTAACAGATCACTTTTGGATAAAATTAAACGTCGATCATCTGTCGACCATCTGATGATCCGATTAGAAGAGTAGATGTTTTAGATTACTTATGTTAAGAAAGGTAGAGGTAGGCCTAGGACTTGGGCATATTGTATAAAAAATGGTCTTAATTTATTAGAATTAAATGAAAATATGATACTAAATAGGATGCAAAGGAGAAAAAGGATTCATGTAGTTGGATTCATGGGCGCCACTTAGTGGGATAAAGGTTTTGTTGTTGTTGTTGTTGTTATATATATTTATACTTTTTTTTAGGTTCCTATAGAGATGTTGAATACTCTACTTTTTTTATGCTAGTCATGGTGTGATAATCATACTGGATCTTTCCAGTGAAAATGAAAATCCTACTTAGGAAGATGACAAACTAGCTAATATAAGTTCTATCCTACAATTAAAACACATATCGTAGACAACATAGTATCTGAAAAATTAGTACTATAAATGATTTAGAACAAGTCTAGATTTTCTGGATTCCAACTTTAAATCAATATAATATTAGCTTTTATTTGTTTGAAACAAGATATTTTGCAATAAATATTTTCCGCCAGACTAATTTGAAACTAATTTATGCTTAATCAAAATTGAACTATAGATTTTAGTTAAACAATTTACTACCAATGGATTGCAAAAAAAAATGATTTTATAGCATTCAAACGGTATACCATGAAAAGTTGCTTTCAAATTTATTCAACATGCAGTCACCTCTATGAACCCATTTTCACCAAAGGACCTATCTATACGGAGCTTTATTTATATAAATTTTCTGAGCATGCGCTAGTATAAGATTATTTAGGAAAGGTTGGGCTTATAGCTGATTGGAATAGAAATTCTTCATAAGCTTCTATTCAAGACCGAAAAAATGGATTTTGTTGCTGAACTTTTTTTGCAGTTGTTATTGTTTGTAACTTTGCTTCCCGTTAATGATTCTTTTCCCTTTTTTTTTCATTTTTCCTATTAAAAAAAGCTCAGAAATGTTGCCTGATAATATTGTTCATGCTTTGGTTTCCTGCAGGCTATTTATGTTCTCTACCGGGATGATGGTGCTTTGAAGCTGCCATACTGTATAGTAATTGCTGGATTTATCTGTGCTCTTTTTGCTGTTGGAATACCTTATCTATCTGCTTTAAGGATATGGCTTGGATTCTCAACATTCTTTAGTTTCACATTTATTGTCATAGCATTTGTGCTCTCACTTAAGGATGGTAATATTCTCCAAACCCAGTCTTATAAAACTCACATGTATTTCAAAGATAGAGTTTAATTTCATAATATATTTCAAATGCTATTTTTTTTTCATAATGGTTGTTTTCATAAGAATAAGTTTATTAACTATTTTTTAATATCAACTTTCTCTTAAAAATATTTTTCATGGATACTTGTTCTCTGTAAGAAACTTGAGCTTATGTTGTCCAGGCTTATGCATGATAAATTTAGTAATTATACCAACAAACATAATTGCAAGGCAAGTGATTATAAATCCATAAAATTTGTCGGAGTTTGTTTCAAGTACATATGGAACTAGGTAATTCTGAATCGTATGAGAGATAATGGAGAAGATTTAATGATTACACGCCTTTGTTTTATAATTTAACATATAAATCATGTTATGATTTATTATGATTTAAAAAGAAAGTAATTACACCCATCCGAGCTACCAAATCTTTCTTAAAGAGCATTGCATTCTGTTACATGCAAGTTCAAACTTTTCAACCAAAACATGCATTCAGACCAAATATTTGCCATCGAACTAAAGTTTTTAATGCTGCAACTTAATTCCTAGTAGGGTTACATTCTATAATGATTAGATGTGATAATATTAGTTGATAGTAGCATCGGAGTTATGTATATTTCATTTCAAAACACTTAAGGTTCATAGCTGTAGTAGTAGATGTGTCAACGGCTGTTCGAGGTTTGGCTTAGGCTTCATTTGGTAGTGCTTTACAAAATAAAGTCCCCACTACATTAACCAAGTCTATTTTATATGATCTACCTTTAATACAATAATTTTTTGATTCATCATTTTAATTTTATCAATTTGTAGATCTTAGTGTTTTACTTTGTCGTGGTTAATTTGGTTATAGTGACTACTTACCACTAAACACTCTAATCTTGCTTCGATAGTCGCCCTATTTAGAATTTTATAAAATTTGTAAATCTCAATGATGCTCTTATCACATCACACCCTTGAGTAGACATAGTTGATCAAATTTTATGAATTCAAGTATTGAGCAATAAAAAAATAATTGAATGATAAAAAAAGACTGAAGTTGAAAATGATAGTATTAATGATGCTAAGATGAATGTATAGAAAGACAAATAAGAATATATTATGAAGTGATTATATTAGATAAATGAAAGGGAGTAACAGATATTTAAGGTAAGGTTGTGGTAGGTAGACTTGGATTGTTTGAGTTTGTCCAAAAGGACGAAAGAGGCGATAATAAGATGGATAAATAACATTAATGCCAAAGAATTAGGAAAAAAAGATCATTCAAAGATAACTTGGATAAACTGTGAGTAAAAAACTTGCCTTAAATAAATTTTACACTTTATCTAAATCGGAAAGATTGGAAAATGAAGATTCACTAAACCTAAATTAAACTCTAATTGGTATACACGGTCCAACCCGAGGGCTTGGAATTACTAAGACAAGAAATAAACAATCAGATGGTGAAATTCAATTTCGATCATTAACTAATACAAATAATCATCTAAACAAACTAAAAGGGCCAGTAACGATTAAAATTTTAATGATTCTAATAGTAAATCAATTAGGCTTTGTCTGGATTGAAGAAAAGTAAAGAGAATGAAATGAAACCCCAATAAATTATGAGTTGATTATGAATCTTAAACCATTTATTTAGCTTTTTCAAATTATCTGTTTATTTCCTATAACTCCAATTAGAATGCAATGAAACCCCAATAAATTATGAGTTGATTATGAATCTTGAACCTTTTATTTAAGTTTATCAAATTATCTGTTTATTTCCTATAACCCCAATTAGCATACCCTTATTGTTATCTTCCAACAACCAATTATCTGCTTGACGTAGAAGTGAAAACATAAGCAGCATTAAGAAAAGTCAAGCACATCAAAGCTGATAATTTAATCGCCGCTGGCGCAACTACAACTCAAAGCTCTAGTCTTCATCTTTCATACAGGTGAAATTCAATTTTTATCATTAACTAATACACATAATCATTCAAACAAACTAAAAGGGCCAGTAACGATTAAAATGTTAATGATTTTAATAGTAAATCAATAAGGCTTAGTCTGGATTGAAGAAAAGTTAAGAGAATGAAATGAAACCCCAATAAATTATCAGTTGATTATGAATCTTAAACCATTTATTTTAGTATTTCAAATTATCTGTTTATTTCGTACAACTCCAATTAGCATACCCTTATTGTTATCTTCCAACAACCAATTATCTGCTTGACATAGAAGAGAAAACATAAGCAGCATTAAAAAAAGTCAAGTAACATCAAAGCTGCTAATTTAATTGCCGCTGGCGTAACTATGTATAATGTGAGACAACTCAAAGCTCTAGTCTTCATCTTTCATATAGGGAACACGCAAAGTTTAATGCTTTTCTGTTTGGTCTACTGCAAATCAATAAAGATTCCACATCAGTTTTTTCTTGCATTATTTTTTTCTAAATTTTTTGATAATTTCCATAAGGCCGTCCTAGCAACAAATCAAAAAAGCCGAATAAGGTCATATTCATGCATACAAACTGCAGGATGAATCCATTCTAACAGCTGCTTGAGCAGTGTGATTGAAATATTTTTGCAGTTTCTATAACTTTTCAGCTTGCTAAACTTTATGTAAAATCTTGAAAAAGTTTTTGTATTGATGTCAATATATGATTAAAGAGGAATAGCGCTTTATTGTAACCCAGTTTATATCTGCAGGATTGAACAGTCAGAAAAGAGATTACAGTATTTCTTCATCCCACTGGGACAAGATTTTTACTACTATCGGTGGAATTGCTAATCTAGTTTTTGCCTTCAATACTGGGATGCTGCCTGAAATACAGGTATACTTTATCGTAACTCATCAGAGGTTAAAAGTTGTTTAATCGGTTCTTAGTTTTTAATTTTTGGTATATCTAACCCTTCGTTCTTTAGGGCTTCCGTTTAACTTGGAAATGGCTCACCCCGTTTTCTATTATTTTTAATGCATTTTATTTGTAAACAAGCGAGTTTTGTTATGTGTATGACTGACCTGTCATGAAATATTTAGTTTGGAGGCATTAATACTCTAGGTTGAGACAGGACTAGGCGTGAATCTGAAAATGATGGGGAGTGATTACCGAGGTAAAGCGGCTCCTAACATGTTTCTAGGATGGCAGGTTTAAACAAAGGGGTAATAAATGAAATAAATTCAGAAAATCTTAACTGAGCTATAAAATAAATGTTCATCCCAAATATGCAAGACATCTTTGTAGAGTTTAATTGGAATTCCATAGTTAAGTATGTTTGTGATGGAGCATGTTATGCCAGCGCCTAAAGACAATTTATTCTTTTATTAGTTATTATTGTGGGTATAAATAGGGCTGTTTATTATGTTTAAGGTTAGGGATGACAAGATTGTTGTCTTGAACATTAGGGGTAGGGTTTTGGGAGAGATCACATACATCTTGATTTGAAGGTGCTTATCTTTATGCATTTGAGTTGTGTTGGTGAAGTAAAGAATTTTATTTTCTGTATCAAATCCGTAGCAGAGTTCAATTTTTGGAAGATCAACTATCAGATCACAACATAGAGGTGTCGCTTTCGTGATCTAACTTTCAAAATAGTCATGATTTTGGTGATTTGGGAAGCAACGATCAAAGTGCGGTTCATCTGGGAAGCAACAAATGGACTGTGGGTCGTGAAAGTTCTCAAATTAAAGCTGAGATCGCGGATACATTTATAATTAAAGCTAGCATGTGCATGATCGCGATACAGTCAATATTAGAGCTAGCTGGGATGCCAAGGGGAAGCAGGATCACAACTAGACAGGAATGGTCATGTTCTAACTAGCTGGAAAGCTTGACAGAATCACAGCTTATAAGGAATACCTTCGTGACCAAAAGGTTTGATTTGCTAATGACAGGATCGAGGTGCACAGAAGTTTCGCTTCCGTGATCTAAAATCATCCTGGGAGTAATGTCAACCAAAAAAATCGAGGCTCTGGAGGAGAAATTAATGCGAGAAGTGAGTCAGATCAGATAAAAAAATGGAGGATTTCTCGTTCATGGAGGGACGGCTCTTGTCCATAAAGGGAGATTCACAATCCTGGAAGAAATAATGAGGAAGATTGTGGAATTTCACACAAACTCATCTTCGTCCACTGTGGATCGAGCGATGGTGTCTGTAGTGAATGAGAGCGACAGCAATAAAAAAAATTCATGCCTCATCAAGGCAGCATCGCTACTTTATATGGATCTAGAGCCGCAAGATCGAGCGTTGGAATCAAGAGAGGACAAGAGTGGCAACACTTGGAAGGAAGGAGCAATGTCCGAACGGCTGGAACGAACAAAAGCAAATGGGATCAAGTGAAGGAATTGAGAGTGTACTTGGGGTTTTTCCCATAAGTGTGCGCCCATGCAACTAACCCCAAACACAGAAGACCAAGATTGAGATATTGATTCAAGAGATGTTAGAGGTAGGGATCATACAACCCAATGTGAGCCCCTTCTCTAGCCCGTCCTTGCTATTTAAGAAGGACGTAAGTTGGTGTTTCTATGCGGATTATCTGGTAGTGAATAAAAAAATAATACCTATCAAAATTTTTATTCCAGTGACTGATGAGCAACTTGACAAGTTGTTTGGAGCTGAAGTATCCTCTAAGATTGATTTCAAGTCCAGGTACATACATATTCAAATACAAACAAAAGATGTGCAAAAGACAACATTTCAAACTCGCGAAGGCCACTACAAATTTCTGATTAAATGAAAAGAATTGCAAGATGATGATGCCACGTAGAAGCCATACAACTTCATCCAATATCAGTTTCTTTTTTTTCCTATCTTACAACGATGCCTAAAGGCAATTTAATATTTTATTATTTTTTATTGTGGGATATGAGTAGGGTTTATTATGCTTATGGTTAAGGATGATGAGATTGTTGTCTTGATAATTAAGGTTAAAGTTTTGGGAGAGATCGCATACCTCTAAAATTTTAGTTGCTAGGGTTGGGTTGGGGAGGGATCGTCTACCTCTCGAATTGTAGGTACTTTGAATTGTGTTATTTTGTGTTTGTGAAGTAATGTATTGCCCTAGTTTCTATGGAAAGCTCCTCTGATTCGTATTAGAGAACTTTCCAGGTGGTCAACCCTTGGAAGTTTCACAACGAAGTACAAAAGTATGTGTTTCAATGTACAAAGTGCAAAAGTATATGTTTCAATGTAGTTTGGTTGGATGAAGATAAACAATAGCTTGGATAGTGTGGGGCCGGTTGTCATGCTATGGAGTTTTTGGGAAATTATTTATTATTCTAGTATTGAACTTAATGGATCAAGATCTTTGGCTACTCTTATAATTCAGGAAAGCATAATGTTAAAAAAGAGAAAACTATGCAGCGCTAAACTCTAGATTTTCTTTCAATAAACTTCTTCTACATTCAAATGTTAATCGTCTTCTTTAAAAGTCACCATTTTCTTGCATTCAGACTTCAATGTGAGCTTTACGATCTGCTTTTTTTCTATCAAATAACTGATTTACACTTTCCACCACAGGCAACAATAAAAGAACCTGCCATAAAAAATATGGAGAAAGCTCTATGGTTTCAATTTACCGTTGGTTGTTTGCCTTTATATGCTGTAACTTTTATGGGATACTGGGCATATGGTTCCTCAACTTCGCCCTACCTTCTCAACAGCGTTCATGGACCAATCTGGGTTAAAACAGTAGCGAGCATCGCAGCCTTTCTCCAGACAGTTATTGCTCTACATGTGAGTACATTCTATAGACTCCCGCGTACTCCCGCCTCAACTCTCTGCATTATTTTAACTCTTTTATAATTCTGGGACTAAAGTAATCCAATATAAATATCAGCAGTCACCTCTTAAAGCCTTCATTGTTGAAAAAATCTACCTCATTCCTGCCTTTCCAAGCTGATCATTTGTTTTATCATCCGCAGGTTTTTGCTAGTCCCATGTATGAGTACCTGGACACGAGGTGTGGGAGAACAGGAAACCCCTTTGCTCTAAAAAATGTTTTATTTCGGATATTTGTTAGAGGGGGTTATCTCACCATAAACACATTGGTGTCAGCTCTTCTTCCATTTCTTGGAGACTTCATGAGCCTGACTGGGGCTTTGAGCACATTCCCCCTCACCTTTGTTCTAGCGAATCACATGTATCTAATGGTAAAGGGAAAGAACCTTCCAGTTCCTCAAATTGCTTGGCATTGGCTGAACGTTTTGGGCTTCAGTTTCTTGGCTTTAATTGCTGCAATTTCTGCGATGAGGCTCATCATCGTCGATTCAAAAACTTATCATCTTTTTGCTGATATTTGAAGTTATTATTATTTTTCTTTGTTGGATGTTCAGTTTTTTTTTTTTATTCTACATATTTGTTCTACAATCTAAGCAGTTGTAGTTTGTATCTGGAGACTGCACTGCTTGTTCATGCTGATTAACTTCAGTAAAATTGTGCACAATTTTTTATGATATAATTTATATATGACATTTAAATAGATTTTGTATTCATGTACAGAAAAAAAAAATTGTCTTATTAGTAATCAGCCAAGTTGAACAGTACTAATAAACGTTTACAACCCTGCTTGCTGTCTTCATAAATCATTCAATCCCGGGTAAGTCCATTCTGCCACCCAAACTCTTGCGTAAGAGATGCAACATGCCCTTTGTGTTATAAATGTTTAAGACTAACAAAAAGAACCGTCGATTTTTCACAAAGTTCATTTGGCCTGATCATATTGATGTTGTGTATGCATTTTCTGTGATAAACTTGGTTTTTGTCTCTTAGAAATACTAACTGATTTGTAAATCAAGTACTATAACATAAATCATAGAGACTTTTTTAGTTTGAATGACAAGTAAAACTTGAATCCAAGTCCAAGTAATACAATTTCTCTCTTAGCACCATAACTACTCATTTGGTGAGTCTACATTCTTATAACACAATGATTATTATTACAAATATTAACATAAGATTTCAGTGATTTGAGAGATTACAACAACAACAAGGCCTTAATCCCACTACGTGGGATCGGCTACATGAATCTTTTTTCTCCATTGCGTCCTATTTAGTGTCATATTTTCATTTAGTTCTAGTAAATTAAGATCATTTTTAATACAATAAGCCCAAGTTTTCCTAGGTCTACCTCTGCCTTTCTTAACAATGTCGAATCTAAAACATCTACTCTCTTAATCAGATTATCAGATGGTCGACGTTTAATGTGATCAAACCATCTAAGACGACTTTCTCTAATTTTGTCCGTCACAGGAGCTACACCAAC